TTAGTGTAAGTATGTATCAAATATTGCATGGGCATACTTATACTAAAAATATTCATTGTTTATTTGAAATTCAAGTTTAACTGGGTATCTTGGTTTTCATTTACTTATTTTTGCTAAATCTGACAACCCTATATATGAGGAAATATCCAGAGGAGGTGAGGATGCAAACCGTTTAGTAAACAGGCATTCCAGGCAAAGGAGACAGCAGGCTCAAAAGCCTTGATTTGAGACCATCTCCACTGGGTTCGAAGAGTGGCAAGGAGGCTAATATGATTGAGTGGAGGACACCAAGGAGAGATATGGTCAGAGAGTTAAGGAGGCCAACGCATGAAGGGACTTCGACTTTTATTTTGTTATGGGAATCTCTTAGAAAGCTATGAGCAAAGAGTGACAAGATAGGGCTAGTCTTCTCAAAGAGTTACTATTGCAACTGTATTGAGAATAGATTCCAAAAGAGGAGAATGAGCAAGCAATCCAGTTCAGGGGCTACTGTGAAACTCAGGTGAGAAATGATAGTGGTCGGAACCAAGTAATTTGCAGTGTAGATTATGACAAGGGACTGGATTCTGGATCTATTTCGAAGGTAGTGCTATTATTATTTACTAAAGGTCTCATATGTGGCATGTGACAAAAAGAGGAGTGAAGGTTGACTGCAGTAATGTTTATCCTCTGTTTATTGTTTAAAAAAACATAGATCTTATGTGAAAGCAGCAACGATAATGCCTGGAAAACAGTAGGCAAGCCAACATTTATTTTTAAAGTCTATTCCTATGGAAGAGCAGAAATAATTTGGTATTAGACTCTTTTGGGAAATGTTCTTTTTTGTATTGTGGATAGGAAGTCAGAGGATTAAGCCACAAATGAATATTTTCCATACTCAACTGTTTGATCTTACTTACACAGCAAAGACATTTTTTGGAGGAAAAATCCCATTGATATGTAAATGACACAATAGTAGCAGAATCTGGCGGGTGCTTAATGTATTGCAGATACAGCACATACCCTCATGTGGTACTCACAGCACTATAAGGTCAACGCCTAGTGTTATCCCAATACTAGTTGAGAAAATCATCATCAGAGGAGTAATTTGTCTTCGGCTTCACTGTTTTTAATTACTGAACCTGGGATTTGAACCTATTTTGTCTGATTCCAGCATCCATGTTATATAATTACTAACCCAATATACTATGCTACCTTTTATGCATATTTATCTGAGTTTATTAAAAATTTAAAAACAAAGAAATTTAAAGCTGACTTGTTACATTCAGGGATAAATCATAAGTTACTTTGCATCTGCTAATATTGTGCTCAAAACTGAGGTATACCTTGCCAGATAATCAGAGAGACTGTTCTATGATCAGGTGCTCCGTATAATTATCATTTTGATCATGTTTGTGATCATTTTAATGCTAAGGAAAAATAGAACTATAATGTCTGTGCTAATGAATAGAATAACATTCTTCCATATGGTTTGCTGATTTTAATTCTGGGTCCTCAAGTACATTCTGTCTTGGCTCACTCTGTAGTGTCAGTAGCAGTCATCTCTGCTATGAAGGCTAAAAGTTTACCTTAGGCTCGGCAGCCTTTACAAATATGTCATGGATAATAGGTAAGCAGGGTTAAACTCCCACCTCAAACCTTCCTGGAAGTAGATTGTTCATGAAATCTGTGGGTGCAGAGCAGTTTACGGTAGGAAGGAGGAACTCCTCTTCTAACACCCCAAACACATCTCCAGTAACTTTCATGATATTAGGTAAGTCATCTGATATCAAACTGGTATCTACAGGTAGATCATATAATAGCAGACAGGTAATTTTCTTTTTGAGATGACAAAAGTGAAGTAATTCAGCATGAAGACCTCACGTATTTCCAAGCAGGGTGGCTATCATCTTCCTTTTGAAGATGAGAAATCTGAAACTCAAAAGAAGCTAAGTGATTGACAGTCTTAGGAAGTAGAAGGGTTGAGATTGAAACCCTTCTAAAGCAAAATCCACAAAAACCCACTTGTAATATTTATTATTATTTATTTATTTGATTCTCCTATTTTGATTAAGATTATTTAATTCTATCCCTTCCCCCATGGAGATGGAGGTTAGTGTCCTGTAAGGTATATGTCACTATTTTTCATATATCTTAAGGGAGCTTATAAATCACACTCCAGTTATTCATGCTGTAGACAAGAAGGGTTGAAATCATTAGTCATTCCTCAGACATCTTTCTTGTACAATCTTCTTTGTTTTGCTTTTTGTTCTCTTCATGATTTGTGTAGATAGTTTACATTTTAAAAAATACCCAGATGTACCTTTTTTATATTTAAATACTTCTCAAATCCAGATTTATCTTACAATGAATGACTTCTTACTGTGTTAAATTTGACGTTTAAATGTCTTTCAGATATTGCATAAGATTTGGAGTTGAAAGAAAAAAATGTATAAAAGGAAAAGCACAAGAGAAAAAGGGAGTGGGAGGGTGGAATTTTGATATTAGTGAGGAATATATTTGTTGTTTGAGTAATGAAAGCAGTGCTATATTTTCTTGCAATGAAAAAACTGTAAAAATCCATGAATAGAAGAAGCTGCATTGCTTTCCTCCTGGGATACATAGAATAGTTTTATTCCACATGGCGAGCCACAGGCAAAGCATATGAAAAAAATTATAAAATATTTTGGAGAAAAGAAAGAAATTCAAAACAATGAGATGTGTGACCAACTGTGTGTAGTGTAGGACTATTAGCAGCATCTGATAACATTGCTTAATTGGGGAGTTTTTTTTTTTCAGTGCTATCTAAATAATGTAATCTAAGATTAGTTGAAAAAGGGTAATTTAGAGCACTACTTATTTCTTCATAAAGCTTTAAATCTCCACCTTCTCAACTTTTAAAAGACACTTGGGAAGTATTTTTGTTTCTCCATTTGTCTAAAGCAATCATCTTAACCTTCTAAAGACTGATGCATATATGGAACATCTTAAATGCTTCTTACAATAATGATGAAATAAATACCAGGATAAGAGCTTAAAGATCTTACCAGGGAGAAATTAAATTCTGGATTGCACTATTGTCAGAGATTACCTTCACATGGAAAATTAACAATCATTTCTCATTTTATAAAAATGACATGTGAGTATATAGTGTTGCTATTATGACATCATGAAAGTAAAGCAAAGAAAATATTATTTGAGTCAATCAGTAAGTTTTAAATTAAATACCCTTTATTCAAACATTATATCAAATGTTATACATGTGAATAATAATAATAATATGTTGATAATATAATATTGATTATTCTCTCAGGCTTTTGAACTCCAAATTATTCTTTGAAATATGGTAAGTAAATCTTAGCTAATATTTCATATTTGTACTTCTAATGCACAGTACTTGTGCTATGTATAATTTCTATATCTCCAGCTACTTTTTACTTCACAAATCATTGCATTTTAATCAATTCAGGTCCATTTAAGGTATAATCAGTTTAATTTTCCACAAAGAACTTATCTGCCATTCTTTGTATAATTAATAAATTTTCTTCTTCTCTGGTACCTAAAGAGAACAAAGGAAATAAAGTTATTGCTAACAGAATTACCTTACTTCCAAGACTGATGTATGCAGAGAATTCTGAAAAGCTCTAATGCCCAGTCTTACAGCTATATAAACCTTTTCTAAAATTCATGGCCAGTCATTATCTTCAACCATGTCAGTGCTTTCATCCAGGCATCACCAGTAATTTATATGACTAGTCAGAGGATTAATGGCTTCCGTACTCTTTATCATTTAATAAATTCTTTAATTTCCTTTATTATAAAGAGGGATCACAGCATGTCAAATTGGAAATGTACTTTATAGATGTCTACCTTATTTCTTTACCTAATTAAAAAAAGAAGGTATTCTGAACTGCCAAAAAGCAACACTTCCTCAATATAAATAAAGTGAAAGTTTTCTTTTGTAGAATGGTAGATTTATCACTTTCACTGGGAGAAATAAATCTTGTACATATAGTTCACTTATTTAGGTCTTTCTTCTTCTTGTTTTAAATTTGGACATGAGACACAATGGTTCACTTACAGAATCTTGGAAGGATAAACGTGACTTTGACGTGATCCCTTTCAGTACTCTGTAGAAAACATGCTAAAGGGATATGAAGAATGTCAGTAAGGAGAGAAGTTAGGAGCGATTGCAAAAATCCACTAGCGAGACTATGGTGGCCTGGATAGTGTATTGTCAGGGCAGGAGCAGTGAGAAATAGTTGGATTCAAGATGTGTTGTGAAACTGGCACTTGCAAAGTATAATGTCATATTCGATGTGAGAGTTTAGAGAAAGAGTCGAATCAAGGATAATTTCAAGTGTTTTTCTCATACAACTGGAGGATTGAAGTTCTGAGTTTCTGAGAGGAGGATGAAGACAAAAGGCAGAGATCAGATCTGGAGGTCAGTTGCTGGGTGTTAGATAAGTGTCATATTTAAGTTGTTTGTTGGACAGCCAAGTGAAAAAAGTCAAAATATCACAATAATTCAGTATTTATACATATCTACTTTATGTTCAGAATGGTTATAGAGCACATTTTTCTTGGCCTAATATCCTGTCTGGATTTTTACAATTTACCTAATTGTGTCATCATTAAAAATAAAGATTATCCCTTGTGATCCTGATAGAAAATAGTATTTTCTCTGATACTATTTAACTTATATTTTGATTAAGATTTTTACTGTATATATATAGATAGACACACACTGTTGTATTTTATTGAATACTCAATGTTTTAGCTGATAATATACATAGTAAAAAGTGCTTTTAGGCCATTAAATAAGGATAATCAACTAAATAGAATCATACAGGAAATATAGTTTTCATTTTATTTAGAAATAAAGCATCATGCATTTGGTCTAGTATGACATAGATGAGTTACAGTAAAATTATTGATTCATTCATCCACTTGGGTAGATCTCAGCATAAATATTGAATGAATAAAGCAAGCTGCAGAATGATATACAATATATTGTAGGCCATGTTTGTGTAAATTTTAAAAACCTCACAAAATCCTTTTACTTATTTTAAGAGCCGTATATATGCATACTAAAATTATGTAAACAGGCCAATGAAACATATACACAAACTTCAGAATGGCTTACATCTGGGATGTGGAAAAAGAGAATCAAATCCCTAGGGGAAATTTCTGTTGGGCAGAAAACATTTTATTTCTTTTACTCAAAAACTCAGGTCAATATGGCAAGTTATTTACATTTGTAAAACATAGGTAGTGGGTCAATGGATTAAAAATTCTTTAAATATTTAAGTCAAAGCAATTTGTTCCTATTTTTAATTACTGAATTCATAACTTAATACAGAATCTAACCATATACATAATTTATACTTAGAATTTATTTTAAAAAGCTATGGTAAAGGGCTCCCTCAGATTCTTCTTATGCTGTTCTTTGCAGAAGCACGCTCAAAATACAAATCAAAACCAGGCATTTCATTATAGGAGATTTCTGTAAGGAAAACCATGAACATAATTCAGTAAAGTAGAAATTTTTACTTGTAGGAAATCATCTGATTATTAAGGAGCACGAAGGAAGGATAAAATAAGAAAGGAAAATAAAATGGTCTCGTTTGTAAATAATATTTTACACGGATTCCGTCATTATTTCCCAAAGCACCTCATTTAGGAACCTCCTAAATGAGAGAAAATGAAATAACTTGAGTAAGGTCATATCACTATAAAGTGACTTTCCCGACCTGAACTCTGCCTCTCTGGAACTTCTGCCGTTTAATCTCGGCCTTACCTCCCAGCACTTTAAAGTGTAACTTCAAATCCCTATAGAAAATGGATTCTAGCTACGTCTTCAATGGGCGGCCAGGTTAGCTGATGATTGTATACACAAATGCTGACACCCCCCCCCCTTCACAGACGTCACACACTGGCTTCTCTATTTAAAGGGTAAATCCTTCCATGCAGAGGATGATTATTGGGCATCAATCCTACAGCCAAGAGAAAAAGGGGGTGCTTATTTTCTGTATCATTATCCTCCCATGCAGGCTAAAAATATTCCTTCAAATCATTGATGATCTTTTTCCCTAGATTTTGTGAAGAAGTTATTTCTACAACTTGCTTAGTGAAGAGAAGCTACTTAGTGTAAGGCTACTTTGTAAACATTTTTCTGTCTGCCACTCAGAAATACTCGGTTTCTGAAGTCTCGTGACCTAATCGACTGTTTAAGAAATTGTTAAACTCTGGATATTTTATGGAATCTTATAATTATAAGATATCACTAAGCATGTTTAGGATTACTTGTATATTTATAATCCAGTTCTGAATATGCTTAGTGAGATATGAAGTATATATATATGTGTGTGTGTATATATATATACATATATATATATATATATATTTAGTTCCATAAGCCATACATGCTTTCAGCACTGAAGGACTGTGTTTTTTGCACACTTTTTAGCTCTACAAACTAAGCACAATGCTTTAAACATACAGTACCATCATTTCAGAAATATATAAATTATCCAGCCCTGGTCTTAGTGAAAATATATATTAGTCTAACAAATTTGGAAAATTCTTCAGGGAAAAATTTTACAATCTCCAGGAATAATACTTTATCTAAAGATTTCTGTTTATATAATATCCCTCCTGTTTGAATAAAACAGTTTGAAACTACCCCCCTGAATCTGCCCCATGTAGCTGGAAATTAGGCTCTATGAGACTATTCTTCACATTTCTGATGAAAATTATTATAATGTATGCTATACACAAAGTTAAAATTCCTATTTTTCCTTTGTTCTCCTTGCTTCATCTTCCTTAAATTTTTTCCTTAAAGAATTAATTAATTCAATGATATTCAAATGCATCAATTCTCCGATTCACATTTTCCCTATATCTCTGAAATTCCATTTCAAATGTCTTTACAGTATAATTTTGGTAAAAAAAATTTTAAAAAGTAATACATTTTTTCACACAGAAAGTCACGAAACAGATCAAAGCATTTCATGGTGCAGGACTATCATAAAGACTTAGATTAATTGCCTGCATATTATCCATCTATGCCTGTCTGTCTGTCTATCTATCTATCTACATATCTACCATCTATCTATTTAGTGGAACTTAAAATAACAGTGTGCTTAGGTGAAATATGGACAAATGATAAGATAATTTCCCTTCTTTACTTGTATCTAAACCCTGAACTATAAAATTTGATAAGCTAAATGAAGTTGTTTTTCCCTTGAACAAATGACCTACTGTTGTCAGCAACAACTACTCTGACCCCACTAGAAACCTGCTGAAAATAAATGTTTGTATATAAAGGAAATAAATTCTAGCAACAATGGTCAAATCAACTTACTAGGGACAAATGAAGCTCTGGGTTGCACAACTATCAGAGTTTATCTTCACATGAAGAAAACAACACTTTTAATTTTAGCAATAAAGACATAAGTTCAAGTAAAGAGATTATATGAGTACATGAAGTAGTTAATAGAAAATTTTGAAGCAAGGGTGTATAGAAAATGCATTAAATTTGTTGGACCAATTATTTAATAGTTACAGGCTAATATTTAACACAGAATAAAATGCTATAGAATTACAAATTATACGTTGAAATTAAATAACCATACAATATTAACATGTAAGAATACTTTCCAAGATACCACAGAGAGCTTAGCTTTTGACTTCAACATTTCTTTCATCTACTTCCCAATTTATTAAGTAATTGCAAATTAAAAACAGTTGTTATCTATTTAGGGTACAATAAATATAATTCCTGTAAGGAACTTAATTTCTATTTCTGGTATAATTGATACATTTTTCATCCTGCAGAAAATACCTAAAAAAGAATAGATATAGTTAAATCATTTTAAGAGTATTACCTGATTTCCAAGTTTAGTGATAGGTGAGTCTTTCTAATATGATCTGAGACTCAGTCCCATGGCTATTTAAATTCTTTTTGTACTTAAGGTGCAGCTGTTATCTTTATTCATGTCAATCTTTTCATTCAAGCATCACTAGAACTTTAGATCATCAGTCAAATAATTAATCACTTCCATCTCCAGAAAATTTTAATCTGTCTATTATAATGAGGAATCACAACAAATCTAGGTTGAAATATCTGTTAATGCTATTTTAAATAGATATCTCAGAGTCTAAAAGATATCTCAGTGTTTTCTCTACACAAATAAAGTGAAATATGACCTCAGTAGAAGAGTTGTTTTTTCTTGCTGGAAAGAAGCTTTTATTAATATCAGATTCATATATTTAACTCTTCCTTGGTCATAATTTGGACAAAATTTATATGACAACCAGCAGTATCTTAAAATAATGAGATCTGATGAACATTTTCATATGACTGTTTTGAGTTTTACACTAAAAAAGTACTAGATGGGGGTAGGAGGTATACAGTGATAGAAGCAGAGAGGCAGATTAGAAGGTTGCTGCAAAAATCTAGGAGAGATATGTCGGACACGGTGATGCCAGTATAGGGGTGCTGATTAATGACTAGATTCTGGGTAATTTAAAGTTTCTGCTTCCTAGATTTTTTGAAAGATCAGATGTAAAATTTTGGAAAAAGAGAGAAATCAAGGATGATAACAAGTGTTCAGTCTTCAGCAAATGAAAGAAATAATGTTGACATTTACTGAAAAACGATGGAAAGAGTAGGTTGAGTAGGAGGAAGATCGTGAACTCAGTACTTGACAGATGTAGTATTTAAGATGCTCATTGAACACCTACATGGGAAAGTCAGGTAGGTGGTTGAATACATGAGTCTAGAATTCAGAGGATGTATCCAGGCTTTAGATGAAGATTTGGAAACCATCAGCATGTCAATATTTGTATGGTATTTAAATACAAGATGAGATGAGACCAATGAGGATATAAATACAGATTATCTTAACATTTGGTACTCATTCCAAGCAGTTGATGAATATATCTCTTGAAGCCCTGACCTGTTCACAAAAATCAATACATGTCAGGAAAGGATATATAGTCGACCATCTGGCAATCATTGAAGAAGGATGTGGTCCTTGGAGTTGATACCAGAGAAAAACAGCAAAGGTGTTAACATCCTGAAGAACAGATGAGAATAATTACATGTTTGTAGAAGCCGACTCCCCCAAGCAATGGCGTTATATAATTTTCCAGTGGCTAAATAGAACACGATAAAGCAAAGAAACTTATAAAATGAAAATAAACACACACAGAGAACCCTGCAAATGTATTTTAACATTGATCAAAAGAAGGCAGACCCCTAAATGGTGTATATGGTAGTATTTTTTGTTGTAAAAAGCTCAAAAATAGACAAACCTGAGCAATATTATTTTAAGAAATTCATCAGAGGCAGTAAAATTAAAAAGAAAAACAGCATTATCTTAACCCACTAGATAGTTTTAAACTTTAGAGATAAAGAAAGGAATGGCTTGATAAAAGGACACATAAAAAATATCTGAGGTCTTATACATGTTTTATAACTTGATATGAAATTTCTAGGTTTTGGTGGTTACATCTTTGTTTGCTTTAGGATTATTTACTATAATGTACACTTAAGGGGCTTTTTGAATCCGTCATTGAAGTCACCAAAAAAAAAAAAGAGCCTTAAATGTACAATTAACAAGATTTTTGATAAATTGAATGTAATAAACGGGGGAGACAAAGAAAGTGAAGAAGTTCCCAATCTTCTGGTTTGGATGAATTTCCTACATCTCAAACCTGATGCCTGTCTTCTCACTCTCAGTGGTTTGTTCGTCACAAAGGACATGATATCAATTCAAAACATTCACACTTAGCTTTCACTCAATCTAACCTCTTTCAATGCAGAAAAGAACTGAGGAAAAAACCCAAATATTACTGTAATGATAGCTACAACTCAAATTTCACCACAATTGATGGACCAGAATATTCTATGGTACTTTGTAATAAAAGCAGAGAAGGTAAACCTTCCTCTGTGATAAAATGTCATGTTTATTTAAAAATGCCAAATTTTTCTTAGGTTAAATACTTTCTTTCATTCCATGAAAAGCTCAATAAAAGACTATATCCCAAATCATTACACCATATAATATTTCATTATTCATTATGATTTTATGAGGTTTTATAGCCTCTTATATTTACATTTTAGTTTATTTTCTTTATCTTCCTGTTGTGTTTTATCTGCTCACATTTATAAATTTTTCATAAGGCTTCAATATATACCAAAGAAAAAAGCCTGAGTCTTGACAATATAATTATTAAAGCTGACTACAATGTGTGATCACAGATTTACCATAAAATATTCAGAAGTGAATATCAAAGATATATGAAATAAATGACACCATTATTGGTCTTACTTTTAGATTATTGGCCAAGTCAAATTAAAATTAGCCCCTATTTGACTCTTGGAGATGGAAGCAAATTTATCTCAAATAAACAATTCTACCAAGATAGTTTCTCATTTTTTTGAAATCTGTGTCCTCATGGTTACACACATTAATATTCTGGTTCAATGTAAGATAG